GATGCCAAATTATGTTAATTTACTTGCATTCCTGAACAGAATTTTTGGTGATCTAATAAATTTGTTTAGAACTGTATTTACAACAAAAATAATTCAAAAAGCATAAAACAGCGGTCCCCAACCTTTTTTGCGCCACGGATTTGTGTCCGGTTTATGTCCGACAATATTTTCACAGACCGGCCTTTAAGGTGTCGCGGATAAATACAACAAAATAAAACCTGTACAAAAAGGGAAACCGAGTTAACGATAAAACGATAAAAATAATAATAATAATAACGCTAAAAACCGATAACAACTCTGAAAACCGGGTTAGGGTTAGCCTCGACTCTCGCGGCCCGGTACCAAACGACTCATGGACCTGTACTGGTCTGTGGCCCGGGGGTTGGGGATCGCTGCTCTAAAGTGTATCACGATCTGGTCACTAACCAGAACAGTGAAGGCGGGCTGTGGAAAAACGCTTTGTTGTTAGTTGAAACACTGATTGGCTGCTTTGCACATGGCAACAGTTTGGCTTCAGGCTTTCTGTGATGTGGGTGACATTGTTAAACAGGTGTACTCTGACTCAAACCAGCCTTGTAGCTTTGTTGCCCAAACGTAACCAGGCTGCTGTTAGGGAGTGTTTCTCAAAGAGGCATTCTGCTGGTTACAGAGAAGAGTTTAGGGCCAGATTTATTAACAAGGGCAAAATAGCGTGCTTTACAAAAGTTGCGCTGCTTTTTGAACGGTCAATTTCAGTATCAAGTTTAAAAAAAAAAAGACCTGCTTTTATTCTGTGTTAAATATCGGCACAATTAAAAGTAAATTGCATTATTAAATTAGTGTGCGTGCTTGATTGAAACATTCTCCTTCTTATATTTTGCACCTTGAGAAGGGAACTCCCAAAATTACATATTTAATATTAACATATCACAGGCAATCTTGTCACTGTGATCTCTTTCTGGATACTGATAGTACTTTTTACTATGCTGGGCAACATTTTAGTAACTCTGGCAATTAGTGCCTGTTGAGTGAGCATGATATTCATTTTAGACACAGCCTCGATGCCAGGTAAAACTGACAGAGATATCTAAAGTCTGCTGTGAAAATGTGATTTGTACCGTGCACAGTTATTTAAAGCCTGTTTCCTTAAAAATCGTTGCATGGACTGATTACTTCTGTTTTTCAGATTACACCGGGGAGACCAGACTTTGATGCATGGCTATGGATTTTTTCAAAAAGTAGTAAAAAAAAAAAAACAAAAAACCCAACAACAACAACAACAACAACAACAAACTATGTATGTTTCTATTCAAAGTGAGGAATTTCCTGGGGATCAATCATTTTTTCATGTGCCTACCACCTCTGATATATTCAGCTGTGCCACACGCAAACACTCAGCCACCTAGGGTGATTTATGAAGGGCCTTTAAAGGTCACAGCTGCCTGGGTAACACAACTACCACAGCAGCTTCTAGTCTACTCTAAATGACTGCTACCACGGTCAAACTCAAACCAAGAAAGGGGGGGGGGGGGCCTACCATAAAATAAGGCCCCACAGTATGCAGAGAGTATCTGACAGCAGTGTAAACAATTCCTTCTAGTTTAAAAGACTGACCTAAAGTGACACTTACTGACTTTTGCGAGTTATTTAAGGTTACTTCAAAGTTCATATTTAAAAAAGAGCGTATAGTGAGTGTGATATAATAAAATGGCTAAAACCAGTCTCAGTATGGATTCACTCAAGGTGCAGAACAACAGTTATCACCAGTAACAGTCTGACAGATGATACAGTAGTTGAAATGCACATGTCACAGTAGTTACTAATCTGCTTGCGTCTCCGCAGCGGGAGGCGCTGCTGCTGAAGACACCAGTCTAGCAGCTTCATCTTGGGGCTCCACTGGCCCTTCCCCACCCCCTGCCCCTTCATCGTCCTCCTCTTCTTCCTTCTCCATGCCCAGTGGAGGCTGTCTTTGTGCCACACTGTGCCTGGAGCGCACCCTGTGCCTTCGAGGGTGGAGGAAGAGAGCAGGGTCCGGCATGGCTGTGGGCTCTGCAGGGCCCATCACTTTCTCCATCGGCACACACTCTCGGGAACGCTCAACTCTCGAGGAAGCCCTAGCGCTCTTACGTTTTGGTTTAACCACAGGAGAAGAAGGGGAAGCTCCTGAAAGCATCTGTGGAGAAACTGTGGAGTTATACTCAGCACCGTACTGGAGCCCCTGGTTGTTGGCCCTGGAAAGCAGTCCCTGCCTCTGCTGCATCCGCTGCTGGTGCAGTTTCTGCCTCGCAGCGTGCAGCTGGAAGGAGAGGTATGCCGCAGCCTCGGTTTGTTTCTGCAGCTCCGTGTTAAGGACGGTCGAACAGTGGCTGCGGCTTTTCAGCTCCTCCAGAAAATGGCGCTCTTTTTGCTTGAGGTTGGCTCTGAGAACTCCCACCAAAGCCCCTTTCTGAGTGAGCTCCTTCCTAAGCTCTCCCAAGGCGCACTCCTTTTCTGCCAGGCGGTTTTCAACCTCCAGACTGCGAGCTTCCAAGAGCTCCTCTTCCTCCTGCAATTCTGATGCAGACCAGAAATGCTAATTATGAACATGTAGAGTTTTAGAATAAAGTTTGTTTCACATTTATGGAAACCTCTCTGGTATGCAACATACTCTCCTCTGTTTTACCATCCATCAATCCATCTTCTGCTGTAGAGACACCCAGACCTCCCATGTCCCACCCGTCTCCTCAACTGTTGAGGTGCTCCCTCATAACATAATTATCCATTTTTCCTACCACAGGGCCTCCTCCCAGTTTACCATGCCCAAAATACTTCATTTAGGAGGCGCCAAAACAGCTCCTTTAAATTTGGAGGAGCAGCATTAACTCTGAGCCACTTCTGAGTGACCGAGCTCCTCAGTCAATCCCTAAGGAGCCCAGACACCCTTCAGAGGAATCTCATTTTCTGCTGCTTGCATCAGCAATCTAATTATTTTGGTCACTACCCACAGCTGACGGCCATAATAGCGCAGATCGACCAGTAAATCGTCAGATTTGCTGTGAAGCTCAGCTGCGTCTTCACCATGAAGACAGAGCTGAGCTGAGACCGGTACAGCATCCACATTACTGCAGACGCTGCACAGATCCATCTGTCAATCTCCTGCTCTCATTTCCATCCTGGGGTGGGCATCCCACCATTTTTCTTTATGCGATAAAATAATCAGAATGATTTTTTCAGGAGAAAAAAACATTTTCTCCCGACCTAAAAAATAAAAGGAGAAATATTTTCTGACTGATAAATAATCAAAATTCTCGATCAATCACTTTTTTTTGTCAGTGGATCAAACTAATATGGTCCTCGTTTCCATTCTGATGTTTGATAATGAACGGTCGTCTTTTGTGAGGCCGTTCGGTCCACATTATGGGAAAATCTGTGTGTTACTGTGATATTTGATATCTTTAATATGTCCTGCCCACAGCAGGCCGACTGATGCTCACATGCCGAATTTGTGGATTAGAGAAAAACAGAAGCTACAGCTTGATTCATGCGTTTTACTTCTTATCACCAAAGCAGAGCTAATGCTGCTCCATAAGCATTTATATTCTGTACAGTATGCAAAGCTTGTCCTCACAACACAGTCCCACATTTAAACAGACTGCACAGACACAGACTTTCATTCAGGCTACTACTAAACGCCTTCTCTGCCAAGGTCGTGTTTAACACAGCACACTGCTCATTGCCTTTTCTCCTTTTTGCCTCTGTAGACGAGCTTTTGTCTCTTTTTATTCCAGTAAAATTCCCCACAGGGATGAGAGGCAGGTATGGATGAAAAGCCCTGAGTCAGTGCGGTTACCTCAGGGCTCACTGAGCTGGAGAAGCAGGAGGAGCAGGGGATTATAACCACAGAGGCCGGCATTGACCCTTCTGCCCAGAGGGAAACCGACCTGAAAAATCCTAATAAGCTGCTTCATATACTGACAAAAGCTTTGAATTTGGGGGTCCAAACGGTAACATCTTACAGCTTATGGTATCATGTAATTTCTCTGTCTATGACAGGCCTTTTATTGGGTTTCATCTCTGTTACTCATTTATTTCTTTATTTTCTCCATTTTTCTTACAGGATCGATCCTCTGAAGGCCGACCGGCTTCTCTTTCGCCCATCACCACACCCCACCTAAACTCATACGCCTGCTATAGAACTACCTAATGTGAACTTTACGTCCTTCCATACGCCTCCATGTCTGCAGCTGACTGCACTCTGCCGCCTTTCCTTTTGCCTTAATTGCCCTCCTCTCTCCCCCTTGTTACTTCTCTCCTTTCTTTTCCTCTCTTGTTTCCTACATCTCCTTCTCTCTCGCTCTCAGCAAAATCTGTAAGTGGACACCCCCACCGGGACCTCAAGGAAAAAAGGAGAGCAGAAGACAAAAAAAAGAGGATGGATCAATTTGCCGGGGTGAGGAGGAGAACACAGGGCTGTGCTGCATGATGTATCGTGAGTGGGGGGATAACCTGCCCTGGATAAAGTAGATGGGATCTAATGGCTGAGTAATGCAGCCAGGCACAACTCCTCCCCCCTGCCTCCCGCACTCTTTACAAGCACACGCACATTTATACAGCCTTTTGACTGCTCTTTCTGGAGTCTGTCTCCAATTCGCTGTGACAAAATGGTGCCTCTTTCTGCACTGAACCACCTTCACGAGGTATGCTTTAGCTGCTGAGACAGTTTCTTCATCTTACGTGTGAAGCTGTAGCATCTTTTTACACACGTGGCTTTACCAGAGACTCCTCCCTCCTGAAGAGAGAGGCAGCGGTGGCCGACAAAGATCTGTCCCCTGGAGGATGCAAGGGTGGAAGCATGGAGAGAGACAGGGTCATCTGGGGGTTAAAGCTGAGTATGGGGAGGGTGAGTGAAAACTAGCTCGGGGAGATGTAAACATGTGGCTGTCTTTGTGTCCTCAAAGCCAAAAAAAGATGACAAAAATCCAAGAGGCGCGAACACAGTCAGGCACGGCAGAGAGAAGAGAACTAGGAAGAGTCTGTGAAGGGAGCGGATGTGAACTCAAACATACCTATTTGACTCCTGCCCGGAGGCTTCATCTTCAACTCGCTCGTCAACTCTGAAACATGCAAGACACACAAAGACAGCGGGAAGAGAGAGAAATCAAATAATCAGAGATTAAACGCAGGCGATCAGAGTCTTATTAAAGCTGTATGCTGACAGTTTGTGGTTGCTGCTGCTGCTGCTGCTGGCGGTTAACATAACAGATGCTCGATGCAGTACATCCTCGGCGAGCTCATGCATAATTTATGAAACAAAATCTGAAACTTTACATCAAAGACTGAGTGCTAGAGACTGCCACAGTCTGGATGTGTAAGGACACATTTGTCATATTAGCATTTTATTTTATTATCCT